CAATGCCAATTGTGTTCAAGTGGTGCTCCAGTTGTTTTGGGATTGCACCCAATTATTATATCTTGCTTAATGATTAGAGAGGGACTAAGGAACTGACCTTTTCATGAAAATGTCTGGGAAAGAGATAAGAAGAAATTCCTCCTTACAAAGAGAGATTCATCTCAAAGCTTTGAATCATGAAACAATAGCCGCTAAAGCGGAATTAAAACTCTGGTGCCTCAGTCGCTACACCAACTTTCTCTCATGGAACGTACAAAGCATTTAAAAGGCAATATGATAAAATTGTTCTGACTTTACTCCAGAAATACTGTAGCTTGAGCTGGAGACATATCTCTCCCTTGTCCTTGAAGAGCTGTTTTGAGACTAAAATATTTCCAGAGTAGTTGAAACAACATAAATATCTTTTTACGTTTAAATACCAAAGACCATTTCCAGTAAGGGCAAAACAAATCCATTTCAAGCCTGAAACAACTGTTTTGAGCTTGACATGTTTTGCAGACAGCTATTCTCGAGTTATCAGGCAAGCTACAGAATGTTTAGTAAATGAAAAGCTAGAATTGAACGGAATCCAATAAAGCAAAAATTCCCCCATTGCTGCCTGCTGTCATGTCTCATTCAGAGCGATTTGTATTTGTTTTGAAGTAAAATGTCCCAAGTGCCGAAATGGATTTACCGACAAGCTATTTTCAAGAGTCAAAATTCAATTTTATAAACCAGATCAATGGTTTCATTTCTGGCGTGCAGGTAAAGATTTATGACAAAATCGGTTCCTTGGTCAGTTCCAAATTTCAGCAGGTACATATTGATCTCTGTAATCAATACCATTATATTTATGGAAGGAAACAGGTGAGGGATACAACAATTAAAGTACAAGTATTCTTTGTGTTTTGCTCTTCCATCCACATATCCTTTATGCTAAAATGAACAACCACATCAATAAAAGAATAACCCACATTTTAAGAAGGGGATTTTTTAAAAAAAATTCTTTGGCCTTGAATCCTTCTGCTTCAGCTTATATTTATATCTTATTAGCCCACAAGATAAGTGATTTTCTGCTGGATCAATGGGAAGGAGGGGAGAGAGAAATGTCTTATTATCTGAGGAAATTGCAGAAGGCTTACCATGATGCGCAACAAAACAAATAGCTTTTTAACCTGCTCATTGCAATTCCTATTTCTAATTTTGGCACTGATTATTAATTGCATGACAGTCAGGGAGGAAGCTAACCACCAGATTACAAGAATGCAAGTGAGTGGTCAGACAAGGAGCCCCAAACTCATTGGTAGCCTCACATTGCAATAAACACATTGCAAATTCAATTTTGCAGCTACTAAGATTGTTGGACGAGGAGGCACAAAAACAGCCAGGGAAGTGATTGAAGCCTGGGAAATGGGCTCCTCGTCAATCAACAGGAATGCTGATTTACCCCCAGCATATCAAGTAACTAAGAGGCAAGGCATTGGCAGCAAAAGGAAACAACAGCCAACGACTTAATAGCCAGCTATCAACGCCCCAATCTACATCTAAAAAGCCCCACACAAGAGGCACCATATGAATACCACACAGAGAATAGACAAAGCACACACTCTGCCAGAGAGACGTTCCCTGAGGATGGGCTCCAGCACAAGTCCAAAAGCCCGGAAGACAAAACCTCTAGTCCTGGTGACCGACCCAGATTGGATCCTGCAACAAGTCAATGTTGATAGAGTAGGGTAGAGTAGAGTAGAGTAGAGTAGAGTAGAGCAGAGCGTAGGGTAGAGTATAGAATAGAGTAGAATAGAATAGAATAGAATAGAATAGAATAGAATAGAATAGAATAGAATAGAATAGAATAGAATAGAATAACAGAATTGGAAGGGACCTTGGAAGTCATCTAGTCCAGAGGTCCCCAATCTTTTGGGCACCAGGGACCGGTTCCATGGAGAGACGTTTTTCTGCGGACCGGAGGGTGCGTGGTTTTGTGTGCTGCCTGCATCCCAAGGATGGGGCTTTGCTTGTTTGTGCAGACCAGCTTCTGGCATGCTGTGGCCCGGTACTGATCCACGGACTGGAGGTTGGGGACCCCTGATCTAGTCCAACCCCCCCTGCTCAGGCAGGAAACCCTATACTATTTCAGACAAATGGCTGTCCAGTCTCTTCTTAAAAACTTCCAGTGTTGGAGCACCCACAACTTCTGGAGGCAAGTCATTCCACTGGTCAATTGTTCTAACTGTCAAGAAATTTCTTCTTAGTTCTAGGTTGCTTCTCTCCTGGATTAGTTTCCATCCGTTGCTTCTTGACTTTCTTAGTGACCACACAGATTTTTCTGTAGGATGATCTGTACCTAACTTGGTCTTTTCAGGTCTTTCAACTGTCCACCCATTGCCACTCTAACTGAACCCATCTACTTGTTCCTAGTCGTCCTCTTCTTCTCTTTCTTTCCAACTTTCCAGGCTTTAGAATCTTTTCCAGAGAGCTGGATCTTTGTGTCCAAAGTAGGAAAATTTGAGCCTGGTCATTTGTGCCTCAAGTGATCCACCTGTTTATTTCCTTGACTGGCCAAGGCCTTCTCAGGAGTCTTCTCCAACAAATCTTTGTATAGATTGCTTTTTTTCTTCCTCCATCCATGCCTCTTTGCCTCTGTCTTTTCAGTGAGGAACGAAAGGTGTGGTCTTTCTCTCTGGGGAGCCCACCCTGTGAGTGGTTTTCAGTGTAATAATAAAATCCGTCTCCCAAATTAACTAAATACAATTATCTCCTCTCTCAGGAAACATCTATTAGTTCCATTTGAAGCAGTTATACTGCTAAGCTAGAACTGAACGTATTTAAAATCTGCATGGTACTGCCAATCATTTTTGGAGCAAGAAAAATATTGAATTTCATATTTTTTTTACCACAAACAGCTTTGGTTTTGGTGACAGGTAGGCCTTGACTTGCAACTGACTTACCCCAAATTTCTGTTGCTAAGTAAGACAGTTGTTAAGTGAGTTTTGTCCCATTTTATGGCCTGTCTTGCCACAGTTCTTAACTGAATCACTGCAGTTGTTAAATTACCAACGTGGTTGTTAAGTGAATCTGACTCCCCCATTGACTTTGCTTGTCAGAAGGTTGCAAAAAAGGGATCACACGAACCCAGGGCACTGTAACGGTCATAAATATGAGTCCGTTGCCAAGCATCTGAATTCTAATCATGTAACCATGTGGATGCTGCAACAGTTTAAGTGCCTAGCTTTTCACAATCACTAAATGAACTGTTGTAAGTCAAGAACTACCTGTACTTTGAAAATGCCCTGGCTATATATAATCTTCCTCACCTAAAGATGCCTGTATTTTCAGAGGCTTCTCTGTCAGGCATATAGTGGAAGCCCTTCGTCTGCTTTACTCCACAGTTATGGAAGGCCCCCTCATAGGAGTTTGTTTAGATTAGTCCTTATTCTTTCCCTTATCAAGATAATCTATTAATTGATTTAAATTTTTTTGATACTTTAGCTGAGCTGCCTTGAGTTTGTCATTGATAGAAGACTGAAATATGTTTTGGAATGACAATCATGGAATTGTAGAAACGGAAGGAACCGCATTGACTGTGTTCCATTAATCAGTGGAACAACCTGCCTCCAGACGTTGTGGGTGCTCCAACACTGGACATTTTAAAGAAGAGACTGGACAACCATTTGTCTGAAATGATATAGGGTTTCCTGACTGAGCAGGGGGTTGGACTAGAAGACCTCTAAGGTCCCTTCAAACTGTTATTCTGTACTGTTAATCCAAATCTCTGCAATGTCCAGGAAAACCAATGAAACGTTCCCTGAGATGTACTTAAAAATCTCCAGAAATGAATAACCTCCAAAGGTAGGCTCAGATATCTTTGCCCCCTGCCTGCCTCTAATCTACACCTCTCTCTTGACTTTTTGTCTCTACATATTTAATATCCATACCTTTACACCTAATCTACACCTGTCTCTCTATCTCGTTCTATATTAATATTTTTACATCTAATTTAAACCTATTTCTATCTCTATCCCACTATCTATCTGTCTATTTTTATATCTATCTGTCTGTCTGTCTGTCTATCTATCATCTATCATGTATCATCTATCTTTCATCTCTCTATCATCTATCTATCATCTCTGTCTATCTATCTATCTATCTATCTATCTATCTATCTATCTATATCTATCATCTCTCTATCATCTATCTCATCTCTATCATCTTTCTCTCTCTCTATCTATCTATTTATCTATCTATCATCTCTACCTCTAACCTATCCCTATCCCCATCTCTATTCCCCTCTATCTCTATCTGTTTCTTTATCTCTACATAGGTCTCTCTCTCTCTCTCTCTCTCCCTCCCTCTCTCCCTCCCTCCCTCCCTCCCTCCCTCCCTCCCTCCCTCTCTCTCTCTCTCTCTCTCTCTCTCTCTCTCTCTCTCTCTCTCTCTCTCTCTCGTTGTTGACGCTGGTGTCCTCTCACATTGCAAAAGACAAATCTATGAAATTCTGCTTCACGTGCTCTACAAAAACATGTGCTGGAGTGGTTGTCATCCTTCCCAAAACATAACAGCCCTCATGTCATAAGCCACCAAAATTTTACCATCCACTTCACATCTTAAATATATCTTGCATTCAGTCCAAATGCCTATTTTCAGAAGCTCTCGTATCCCTGATCTGCATCTTCTTTGAGTTCCTATTACCTTGCTACATAAAAGAAGTTAAAGTTCTGAATAGAGTTATCAGTACTACTTTCTGGCGTGAATTTTAACATGGCGCAATGGTCTTGAAAAACGCCTCACGTAAAGATGGAATTTAGAATACTACATTCAACGCCAACTAACAGCAAGTCGAAAGAGGATTTACCTTTGTTTGAACCAGGGCCTGCCAAACTCCACTGCTTTCTAATCAATTATTTAATTACAGAAGCATCTTTGGCGGCATGAACTTACCCATCCCCCGCAAGCTCAGTAACATCCTTTTATCATTCGAAGACAAAGACTTAAAAAGCAGGGGGAATAAAAGACCCACCTACCTGTTTGCAATCAGACAGGGTCTTCTCATTAACCAAAGAGCTGAAACAGGAAGTCTGAAAGAAAGAAGAGGAAAAAAAAGGCATTTTCCCACCTTTTATTTTGTGTGTTTTTGTTTTTTTTAATATTGCAGTATTATTTCAAGGAGCAACCTGAGAGATGGAACATATGAGGACATAAGATTCAAGAGGCGAGCCAAAAGGATAAATTTCCAAAGAGAACAAAATACAACCCAAGGGTTTCGTTTTTGCTGGAAGTTCACTGAAGATGTTGACCGGATTATTGTTTCCCATAATGGTTAAAATTGTCACCAAGAAAACTGCACGTTCTATCCAAGTAACCACCAGATGTGAAGACTGACTGGAAGACACAGAAACTAAAGAGGTTAAACACAAGATTAAAACCAGAGTTGAACAATCCAAACCACAATGCCCGAGTCAAAATTACATACATTCCCACTTAATAAAAAAAAATACCTTCAACAATTTTAAACAGCCGAACACCTGGGGGAACAATGACATCTTCAATACCTTACAAAACAGTTTGCCAACCTTTCCAGTTTTGCAGATCAACGGGGTGGGGAAGAGATGATGCATGCATGCACACACGTGCTCACCCGTCAGTTCTGTGGCCCGGTTCTGAACAGCCCAAGGCCCAGTAATGGGCCACAGCCCAGAAGTTGGGGACCTATGCCTTACAGAAGGCCATCAGGGTCAACTTCATTTGTGGAGGAATGATATTCCACAAGGCATGCACTATCCGAAAAAACAACTGATAACCAGAAGAATGGTCTAATACAGTGGTGGTGAACTTATGGCACTCCTCCCGCGGCCTCCTCCTCACCAGCAGCCCCCCCGGAGGAGAGGACCCCCGGGCGCGGCCCGCATAGAGCAGTGCAGTCAAGGACACGGCAGCTGGGCAGTGGGGACAAGACTCGCCCTCGTGCCCTGTCGTGCGCAGTTGATGCTGCGGGACGCGAGTGCAGGGCATGGCTGCCATGGCGCTGCTGGGTGGCCCTGCAGTACAAGGCCACCCCTCTCTCTGACAAAATGATGTACATTGTGCATGCAAGGCATTGTAAAAGGTGGAGGGGCTTTGATCATGAAGTCATGGTCGCCATCTTGACATTACTGGCCTTTGGTTGCAGATGGAAAGAGATAGAAGCCCTTTTATAATTTACGCTGATGGTAGCATTGGGTTATCTCAACATCTTTTCTTGCAGATTTCCTCCCTAACGTGGTCTGACATAAACTTGACCTGTGCTATTTTGTCCATTATGCCATGACACTAGCCACCAGCCTATCCATTTTCTTGAGGCCGATAATATGAAAGATACTAATTATATAAAGACTGAAGAAAATATACTGGCAGGATTTACAACACTAGCTAATGAGCCTCATCTGTTTTTCATTTAATTAATGAACATTTGGAAAACTGCTTGAATAGAAAGATCACGTTCACTGACTTCTTTACTTAATACTAAATACAGCTAATGGCTCTTGCTTTATTTGCAGGCCAATGTTTATTAAGTGAAGAGAAACTCATGAGTTCAAGAGGCAATTTTGCTCCTATTAAGGGGAGGGGGATTTGAAATCCCCAGCTATCGAAACCTCATTGCTATGCAGGTGGTTCTCAACGTAGTTAGGATGCTGGGCTGACAATTGGCAGACCTGTGTACAAAATCCCGGTTGCCGCAGCGTGGCAGGGTGAGCCCCCATCATTCACTCCAGCTCCTGTCGACCCAGCAGTTTGAAAGCAGGTGTGGGACGTCAGTCCCCCAGAGAAGGAAATATTAAAAGGGCAGAAAAATATATTTTCTCAAAGGATCTTAAAGAGGCAGAAAAGAATACCCAGTTTTTCTTAATAGCACCAAGTCTCCCTCCCCCAAGCAGAAACCAGCTCTGTAGAAATGCAGATGTAAATAATCCAGGAAGGTTGGAGGCCCCCTGCTAGAAGATTAAGAAGACAAAGACACCTAAACTCTACATACCCCACCCAAATTCTAAGACAGGACATAATAGGATTAACCCACCGATGCCAAAGGGACACAGGTCAAAATACATGACACAGGAAGTACAAAGCCTCAAACAGGAACAGGAAAGACCTCAAGAACCCCAGAGGGTATAAAAACTAACTCCCTACATGTGCTCTCTCTCTTTTCTTCCAGAGCCATCTTTCTGTCTGGCTCTCCTCTTCAATAAACTGCAACCTTCTTTCTAAAGCAGTCGCCATGTTGTTTATTCCCGGCTTGGACTGAACCATGACGAAGACTTTTCCTTCAACACTGTGAATAGATAAATGGGTACCACTTCAGTGGACAACTTAACAGGGAAACAAAAGGATTCCCCAACTGGGCATCCCTCAGACAATGGTGATGGGCATCCCTCAGACAATGGTGATCCTTTCATCCTGGAAGCGCTTCAGTGCTTCCAACTTCATAAGTAGTAGTGTAGTTCTCAACTGACAGCCATTCGTTTAGCAAATGTTCAAAGTTACAACAGCACTGAAACAAAGTGACTTACAACTGGTCCTTGCACTTACCACAGCACCCTCATGATTCCATAAGCAAAATTTGGGTGCCTGGCAACTGGTGTTATTAACCACAGTTGCCCTGTCCTGGCGTCACGTGATCACCATTTGCAACCTTCCCAGCTGGCTTCTGACAAGCAAAGTCAATGGGGAAGCCAGATTCACTTTAATGGCTGCAGGATTCACTTAATGATGGCAGGGATTTGCTAAATAACCACGATAAAAATGGTTGTAAACTAGGACATGACTCACTCAACAGCCACCTTGCTTAGCGACAGAAATTCTGTTCCCAGTTGGGGTCTTAAGTTGAGGAGTAGCTGTACAATCCTAAGGCAGAGCTTTTTACTATCTGAAGAGAAAAACGAAGATTTAAATCAAGTTCACTTTGTACAATAAAGGAGAATATTTGCAGCCCAGGGTTGAAATGAGAGGTCCTTGGTGCTGTCTGAGCTTGGTTGTTTTCTTGCAGATGTTTCATTGCCCAAACTAGGTAACAGTTTTGGGAGGAGCAGGAGAAGGAGAAGGAGAAGGAGAAGGACTGTGGGGTCCTTGGTGCTCTCTGAGCTTGGTTGTTTTGTTGCATTCATTACCCAAACTAGGTAACAGAGGAGGAGGAGGAGGAGGAGGAGGAGGAGGTTGATGCATAGATGATATTACCTAGACTGGGTAACGAAACATCTGCAAGAAAACAATCAAGCTCAGAGAGCACCAAGGACTTCTCAAGTTCACTTTGTATTTTATTTTTCTTTCTTAGCTATCTCATCCAATCTGTTTGATCTACAAATTCATTCCCTTCACTTCTTTATCCAATGGTTTATCCAGTGTTTCTCAACTTTAAGATGTGTGGACCTCAACTCTCAGAAATCAACAGCCAGCATGAAATCCACACTTCTTAAAGCGGTCAAATTTTGAGAAGCACAGCCGCCGTACTTGCTCCCTGTCCCCTGCCATGCTTTGGATTTACTCACATGCAAGTTTCTTCTGCCCGTTTACACATTCTCTTGGTTCCTGAACTCTCCCTGCTTAAAGCCTTGATACAGAATATTTCTCTAAAATCAGTTCAGTCAACATAATTGCTTTTTCTGGGGTGCTCAATCAACCTGCACCATACACAGGCATAATACATTCCCAACCTATAGTTTACAGCCAAAGGCAATTAGAAATTTAGAAAGATTTTGCCTGTGGAAATGCCAGCATGGATTTTGGAGTGATATAACGAAAGCGACATCATTGCTCTGGATTAAAAGGATCTGTCTAAGCTGACCTGAAAAGTGATATTAAAAAAAACCACCTGTCTCTGCCATGTCTATTATAATTATTATTGAGATAATTAAGCCCTCTGGCAGGACTGCCAGCCTTAGTGAATTTTCTTGGCTGAAGACTGAAACTTTGGATTCACAAATGAGTTTGCTATTCCTATGTGATTTTAGCAAGCAGCCTGTTTGTGAGCATGCAACATGTACAAACTTAGAAGTCTCCAAGGGAAGAGAGATTGTCCAAAAAGTCAAGATAACTGACGTGATTGTGCAAACAAGCCCCATTCTATTAAAAAAAAGGGGGGGCAGAGCATCAATCAATGATTGCAGCCGCCAACTTGACTTTTTGACCCCAGACAATATATAAATATAATTAATTAAATAGGATACAGGCTCTACTGCATCCAATGAACATAATATGTTCACCCCCAATTCCTGCAGGTAGTCCTCAACGTACGACCACAATTGAGCCCAAAATATATGGTGCTAAGTGGCAAATCTGTTAAGTGAGTTTTGCCCCATTTTACCCCTTTTCGTGCCACATTTGTTAAGTGAATCACTGCAGTTGTTAAACGAGTAACGCGGTTGTTAAGTGCAGAAAGAAATAAAAAAGGAATAAAAAAGTAGTGCCTTCCCATTTTTTGTGGCGCAATAGAATATATTATAAAAAGTTACACCCTCAGAATTTTTCTTTGCATTTCTAAATGTTTCAAGCCATTTCTATAACCACAAAATCGTTCTAATGGTCAAAACCTAAAATTAGAGTTCCATTTTTTGTTTTTCAGTTAAAATCCAGAAGTGGTTTCCAAAAGGAAACAAAGCTAGATAAATTTATCTAGCAGGGGGTTGGACTAGAAGACCTCCAAGGTCCCTTCCAACTCTATGAGATGTAGTCTTTGACGCACGACCACAATTGAGCCCAAAATTTCTGCTGTTAAGTGAGGCATTTGTTAAGTGAGTTTTGTCCCATTTTATGACTTTAGTGGGAAGTCAGCCCCCCAGAGAAGGAAATATTAAAAGGGCAGAAAAATATATTTCCATAAGGAGGCAGAAAAGCATGCCCAGTTTTCTTAATAGCCCCAAGTCTCCCTTCCCCAAGCAGAAACCAGCTCTGTAGAAATGCAGATGTAAATAATCCAGAAAGATCGGAGGCCCCCAGCTAGAAGATTAAGAAGACAAAGACACCTAAAATCTACATATTCCACCCAAACTCTAAGATAGGACATAATAGGATTAACCCACCGATGCCAAAGGGACACAGGTCAAAATAC